CCATAGAGGTTGATATGCCGCTAAACAAAATCAACCAACCAACAATACCTATTTATAGTATATATTTAGTTGAAGCCATAAAATTGTGTTCAAAATATTTAGATTTCGGCATTAAATAACCCATAGAGGTTGATATGCCGCTAAACAAAATCAACCAACCAACAATACCTATTTATAGTATATATTTAGTTGAAGCCATAAAATTGTGTTCAAAATATTTAGATTTCGGCATTAAAAAACCCATAGAGGTTGATATGCCTTAAACAAAATCAACCAACCAACAATACCTATTTATAGTATATATTTAGTTGAAGCCATAAAATTGTGTTCAAAATATTTAGATTTCGGCATTAAATAACCCATAGAGGTTGATATGCCGCTAAACAAAATCAACCAACCAACAATACCTATTTATAGTATATATTTTAGTTGAAGCGATAAAATTGTGTTCAAAATATTTAGATTTCGGCATTAAATAACCCATAGAGGTTGATATGCCGCTAAACAAAATCAACCAACCAACAATACCTATTTATAGTATATATTTAGTTGAAGGATAAAATTGTGTTTCAAAATATTTAGATTTCGGCATTAAATAACCCATAGAGGTTGATATGCCGCTAAACAAAATCAACCAACCAACAATACCTATTTATAGTATATATTTAGTTGAAGCCATAAAATTGTGTTCAAAATATTTAGATTTCGGCATTAAATAACCCATAGAGGTTGATATGCCGCTAAACAAAATCAACCAACCAACAATACCTATTTATAGTATATATTTAGTTGAAACCATAAAATTGGGTTCAAAATATTTAGATTTTGGCATTAAATAACCCATAGAGGTGTTGATATGCCGCTAAACAAAATCAACCAACCAACAATACCTATTTATAGTATATATTTAGTTGAAGCCATAAAATTGTGTTCAAAATATTTAGATTTCGGCATTAAATAACCCATAGAGGTTGATATGCCGCTAAACAAAATCAATCAACCAACAATACCTATTTATAGTATATATTTAGTTGAAGCCATAAAATTGTGTTCAAAATATTTAGATTTCGGCATTAAATAACCCATAAAGGTGTTGATATGCCGCTAAACAAAATCAACCAACCAACTATACCTATTTATAGTATATATTTAGTTGAAGCGATAAAATTGTGTTTAAAATATTTAGATTTCGGCATTAAATAACCCATAGAGGTGTTGATATGCTGCTAAACAAATCAAACCAAACCAAACCCTTTATTTAGTCGACGTGGATAAATTGTCCTAATTCTCCGTGTCATAACAAAATTTATAATATGACCTCTGTTAAAATATGATAGGTTCGTAAGTCCCAATAATTCACTTACCAATTGATATAATGGAATATGCATACACCTGAGTTCCCCCTCACTGGAATATGATTGGCTGGTGTCCGTTATAAATACAGACGGACGTGTAGGTACGCCAGAGTCTATGACGACGCCCATTGGACTACGCCATTGGCTATTCTATTGGTCTACACCTATTACCTGCGACTACGACGAGTACCGGTCGATTACTGCTACCGTGTACTGCTTGGTTGCAGTAGTCCAAAACTCACTTAGCTACTTCGATCAAATATATCCCTTTCCGGGACATATTACCAATCTTTTCAGTGGATAAAGCGTTGGTTCATTGATCCAAATGTGACTTGACCCAAAGAGTTGTAAGTTCAATACCTGACCCCAGGAGAGGGAGCAGAAACTTGGAGAGTTTAGGTTATCAAGGGGAATTAACTGAGACTGAGATATCCAGAATAGTCATGGCTCTACGAATTAGAACAATATTCCCCCGTAGACTAATTAAAGTATTCGGTTCCAAAGTCCAACCTGAAGAACGCCGGAGCGTACAACGGTCGAAACGTCGTGGCAATAAAGATGAGGACAACAGTCCGAACAATGTAAATAGTGTAAGAAAAAACATTATATAAGTTTCATTTTTCTTATGTTGTACCACAACAGTGCATGAAAATATGGAGGATGTGAATTACAATCATGCGGCTTTTAGGGGTATCTTTGTAGGCTATACAAAGTATATCAAAATAAGCATAACGTCTTTTGGTAATGGTAGTATTAGCCGTTTCCTTATAAGGAAACATTTAGCATTCATTGACCAAACAGCCAGTACTTCTGTCGGTTGAAATTTATAAAATCTTTCTCTTAAAACAATTTTTCAGGAAAACAGATGTCTTAAGCCCAGTAGCTGTTATATCTCTTTCTAGTAATGATGAGAATCTCCTTCTTAAAATTTTGTTCGAAGCAACTTAATCTAACCTATAATACTACGTAATGTCTAATTTGATTGACCATTAGTAGCAAGTTCTATCCTAAGGGGTACACTATACAAAAATCAAAGTTAAATAATTCAATGAAAATTGTAATGGCAATATTAACCGTTTGCTTACAAGGAAACTAGTAGTGTATACAAATTAGATAGACAAGTATAAATAGAGAACAACTGGCGAACATAGGGTTGCTATTCAGGACACGGAGAACTGTACTACGACTACTACTACGCAGAGAGATGTACAAAACATAACAGAAACATTTGGCATTTATTGGTCGAGGAGCCATTTTCGGATGAAATTTATAAAATCTTTTACTTAAAACAATCTCTCATGAAAATATGTTTCTCCAGTCACGCTATTTTGAAGAGGAGTAGAAGTTTATCCCATGTTTCCTGTTTAGGATTGGGTTTCCGGTTCCTTCTAAAGTCTACTTCAACTCTAAACTTCTAACATCCCCGTCTGACCTCTGAAATTTTATTTATTTTCTTCCTTCAGTAGGAGTAGATAGTTTGTTTTTTTTTAATAAGAGTACAGGTTTATCCACTGTTTCCTGTTTAGGATTAGGTTTCCGGTTCCTTCTAAAGTCTACTTCAACTCTATATTCCAACGTCCTCGTCTGAACTCTGAACTTTTATTTACTAATTATTTATTTATTTTCCTCCTCGATAGGAGTAGATAGGTCCGCATATCACCCAGTTCACACTCCTCCCAGTATTTTCCACAGCAGAGGTTTATCTTCTGTTTCCCGTTTAGGATTCAGTTTTCTGTTCCTTCCCATTCAATTTCACTCCCTTCCGTCTTAGTGGCATTATCGCCTTACATTTTTTAATCATTTCACTCCAAGCAAGGCAATAAAGCCACTAAGATGCAAAGGGTTAGTGAGTGTTAGAGAATATGAGAAAAAAACATTAAGGAGAAAGGACAATAAGAGAACAAGAATTAAGAAGACAAATCATAACGATTGTTATTGGATTTAAATTTTTAACGATCAAAGTTGACTAGGAAGAAAGAAGCCGGAAGAGAGTTCCACAAGCGAGAAGTGCGATTGAAGAAACTCTTAGCGTAGAACTTACGGTTACTTGTAGCCATTTTAACTGTAATTTGCAGTGAATTGGTTATAAAAATAAATACACTAAAAGATAGCTCATAGCGCCATATTATTTTCATGTCGTCTGCGTCAATCCAAATGGAATATATCCCGTATATTAGATAACAGTCTGCTTATGATAAGAAATAAGCGATATCTACTTCTGTAGTTGAGTTTTTAAATCACTGGAATTAATATCTGGTTTCGTTTAGTACTTTCTAAAATTCGGGTGGTGAAAGCATGTCTTTTTAGGCATCCTACAAAACGACATCAGATTTTTGATGATAACGCAATATCACCTATTTTTTGTTTTAGATCATGTTCATTTGATTCTTCTTTTTTTTTTTTTTTATTATTTTCTTCATTTTATTTTCGGACAACGCCTTTTTCTACCACTTTACAACGTTCACTGTGCATCTGCTGGAGTAATATCATGTCCCACAGAGTGCTGGCGTAAAAAAAAAATAAAATATGGTAACAAAATTTCGGTAAAGTTTAAGTGTTTAAGTTATGACAGTGAGACGAATGGCAGGTGGTCTGTAATCTTTGTTACAAGCCAAAAACTAGCTTCTTTTTTTTTTTAATTTAAAAAACAAAAAAAAAAAATACTCTGCTTGCGCAGCTAACTTCATTTTAGCCTGACTCGATCAGGTCGTGTCTAGCAAACTTTGTATTTTTTAAAGGCCCCTAGGGAAGTAAACTTTGTTTGCTTTTCGCCTTATTAATTTGGCTTTTTTTCTATCGTTCGACGTCTTGTTTTTATTATCTGTGGCGTTTTCATTCAGAGAAATCTTCGTTTCTCCAAGACTTGAAGAATTTTGATGAGATCGAAATCCTATCTGCGATTCATTAATTTTTTTTTTATTGACGGAACGACCAATGACAAACTGAATAACAGCAGAAGGAAAATGAATTAATATCACGATCTTATCCACCCAATCAAAAAACATATAAAATCTAGGTCGTTCCTATAATCATCGGAGCACTGTAAGCGTCTCCAAGAAGTAATGAAAACCAGATAAAGAATCTGAACAATTCCGTTTTTAAAATTTGGTTAAACACTGAGGAATGTTTTAGAAATAGGGACGAAATTGGCGCTACTTATACAAAATGTACGCGCATTTTGAATGTTTCTCGAACAATCACTGAAGTTAAGCAACGTCGAACCTGGCCAGAACCTAAATGGGTGACCGCTCGAGAGTAACTGGTGCTGTAATCTTCGATATGCGAGTAGTATAATGTGCTTATAGCCATATCACATTGAAACACCTGTTCTCGTACGATCGCCGAAGTTAAGCAACGTCGAAACTGGTCAGTACCACTCGGGGAATACCAGCCACTGCAAGTTTGGATATGCTTACAGCCACATCACGTTGAAACACTGGTCTCTGTACGATCACTGAAGTTAAGCAAAGTCGAGCCTGGTCAGTACCTAAATGGGTGTTGTAAGTTCGGAATGCGGCTTACGGACATTTCACGCAGAAACATTGGTACAGGTTAAGCAACGTGAAGCCTGGTCAATATCTAGATGAGGGACCGTTTGGGAACACCAGGTGCTGTAAGCTTGGGTGTTCAGGTGATATAATGTGTTTACGGCCACATCACGTTGAAACACCGCTTCCTATACGATCACCGAAGTTAAGCAACATCAAGCCTGGTCAATACCTCGATGGGTGACCACTCGGGAATACCAGGTACTGTAAGCTTCGATATGCTTACGGCCACATCACGTTGAAACATTGGTTCCCGTACGATCACTGAAGTTAAGCAAAGTTGAGTCTGGTCAGTACGTAGATGGGTGACCGCTTGTTGTAAGTTCGGAAATGCGGCTTACGGCTATTTCACGCTGAAACACTGGCTCTCGTACGATCACAGATGTTAAGCAACGTCAAGCCTGGTCAATATCTAAATGGGGGACCGCTTGGGAACACCAGGTGCTGTAAGCTTGGGTGTTCGGGTAATATAACATTACAGCCACATCACTTGAAATACTGGTTACCGTACACTTAGCAAATTTAAGCAACGTGGTGCCTGGTCAGTACCTACATGGGTGACCGCTTGGGAATACCAACTTGGATGTGCGAGTGGTATAATGGATAACCACTAGCGCGGCTAGCTAAACCCTTTTGTAGACACCTGCTTAGGGAATGCCATTATCTGGTGTTGATCAACAGTTCAGACAAGGGCAGTAGATTCTGTCATGATGACTTGAAATAGTTCGGTCTATCCAGTTTCACTTATAAGATTTGGATAAACTCTTGGCATCGTTTTCAAGTACTTTAGAAATTGGGTGTAGGGTATTATTTCAAGCCATCGTGACCGAGATTTTGAACGTCCTGGCCTAGTCTAGTTATGTTGATCAAGCCAGATAATACACTCTCTCCCAGTAACTGTAACAAAGGTTCGCTTAGGATAGTTGCAGTATAATTCATAGGTGAGTTCTATGGATGTTGAACAAACACAAATGTGCCTGAGCAGACTTCTACAACAGGGATTGACTAGCTGTCGTTATAGGCAGGCATATTCGGATACGAATGACCAGCCACCACAATCCTGAATATAATTTGTTTTAAAGTACAGGGAACTATTTTGAAGCCTCGGTAACTGAGTTAGCACGAAGTCGCAAGTCATCGTGACCGAGGGTTTGAACGTACTGGCCTTGTGTAGGATGTTGATCATGCCAGATAATGCACTCTCTCTAAGTAACTGTAAACAAGGTCCGCTCAGCATAGCTGCAATATAAACCACAGGTGAGCTTTGTGGGTGTTGAACAAACACACATGTGCCTGAGCAAGCGTCTACAACAGGGATTGGTTAGCTGTCGTAGTAGGCAGGCATATTCGGATACGAACGGCCAGCCACCAGACCTGAATATACCTTTTTAAAATTTGCGTAGCGGGACCTATTTGGGGACCGTCAGTGATCGAGCTAGCACGGAGTCCCAAGTCACATTTAATATATATATATATATATATATATATATATTATCCCTCAGCGATAGCACGTCTCAGAGTTTCTTGCACAACGCAATATTTATTTCTTAATATATACTTAATAGCTCTGTTGTATTACATCGAGCACTGTTTTATTAACACCAGCACTATATGTGCAATATATATATATATATATATATATATATGTGTGTGTGTGTGTGTGTGTGTGTGTGTGTGTGTGTGTATTCTGAAAAAAAAGCAACTTCATAAATTATAGACTTCTAAAAATATTCGGTATTATCAAAACCGAAAGTCTACTTAGAATTAAGAAAAAATAATTGAAATTTTACTGGCACATAATGAGGAAAGAGGGCTTGGAAAATTTGACACTCACTGGACATGTGAACGCCTGAGATACAGAGCAAATCGGCAAAGTAACCTAACAAGCTTGTGTAAATGGATGGCAGAACTGGGGCTAGGATATATAGTAAAGAGACACACATTGCTTAGCGCTACAAAGGATAGGAAGTTGTGGAGAGCCATGATCAACCTGCTTAAAGACTTTGTGCAAAAGGATGGCAGAACATCGACTGAAAAGGATAGAAAGGAGGATAAACATTGTTTAGAGCTACAAACGATAGGAAGTTGTGGAGAGCCATGATCAACCTAACAAGCTTGTGTAAATGGATAGCATAACAGGGGTTGGGATGTATAGTAAAGGGACACACATTGCTTGGTGCTACAAAAGATAGGAAGTTGTGGAGAGCCATGATCAACCTTCTTAAGGAGGATAAACGTTGTTTAAAGATACAAAGGATAGGAAATCGTGGAGAGCCATGATCAAGCTGCTTAACCAGCTTGTGTAAATGGATGGCAGAACATGGACTGAGAGGAATAGTAAGGAGACAAACATTACTTAGAGCTACAAAGGATAGGAAGATGTGGAGAACAATGATCATCCTACTTAACAAGTTTGTGTAAATGGATGGCAGAATAGGGACTGGGAGGGACTGTAAGGAGACATATTTCTTAGCTTTACAAATTAAACGGGGAGACGTTATCCTCAACCCTCTCACACACACACACACACACACACACATATATATATATATATATATATATATATATATATATATATATTCCTTTATTAAAAAGAATGCAAGAAAGAGCAAGCGCCTGAACAGATAAGAGAGCATCCCGTTGAGCCAAACTGGGCCTCCCGCCATTACGGTCGCGTCGATATTTTCAAGACCGCCATCGACGATTTTCTTATTTCATACAAGTCCGTTTTCTTTTAAAAACAACTAGTCTCTATTCGAAATGCCGACATTTGAGAAGCATTTCTCAAGCAGACCATGAAATTCGAAAAACAGTTTACGGTCGAAAAATGCAAACTTCGTCAAGCTTTCCTCTATTCGGAAATCCGAAAACCGAAAAGCAATTTATCAAAAATACGTAATCTTCAGGCGAATGGCAGACGAAAAGAGGTACAGAAAATGAAAAGAAAATAAATAAATAAATTAAATCTAGTAAGTAACCTACAAGTGACTCCTGGTCACTTGGTTTCAAGAAATAACGTTTCGATAACTGCTGGTCAGTGGATGATACTAATTACTAAATGCCGGTCAACTATTATAACATGAAATTGAAAAAACATTAGCGAAGTCGATGAGAACAGTAATACAAGGGCTGGAAGCCTTAAGAAACTTGTTGTCATTTGATCCTTCGCGATAAGTTAGCTCTTTGAAGGTTAAAAAAAAATACCATATTTTTGTGCGTTTGTATAATACAATCAATACAGAACGAAAAATGAAAGGCAAAAATGGGGTTCGTATTATAAACATTTTCAAAACATTTTTAGTCCTGGTTAAAACTAAAAACTGCATCCGGTATCAAGGCCGCTGGTTTTGAAGGGTGTGGAACTACCTGTTAATTGCTGTTGTCCCGATTGTAACAGTGTGAAAATTCCTCCTTGGAGGTATTTCTAACGCAGGCTTATCATGTCTCAGTTGCGTCTCTGTCCTTGGACAGAGTGCGCTTAGGGGCTTCTCTGTCAAAGGACAGAGGGGCAACTGAGAAAAATTATACTGAGAGGTGCCCAGCCTTGGGGAACAGCTGCCCGAGGGCGCGCCCTCCCATTGCACAAGAGGGAGGGATCGGTGCACACACAGAGGCCAGCGCAACCGACGGTTGCGGGGGGGGGGCTGTGGGCAATTTTTCTCCCTTGCCCGAATGTACGCGCTCGGGTCCCCACTTTAAAACGACCTTGTGTCACATCTCGTTCTGGTGGTGGAACGAGTAAACACCGTTGTCCCGATGGTCACCCTGGTCTGGGTTGGTAGTACTTGTTACAATCCAAGCTATGGCACATAGTGACCTCCCCACCAAAAAAAAAAAAACAAATAAACACTATAAAAGTATAAATATATATTTTTATCGTAAAAATATCAACAAAACAATTTTAAAACAAAATGAACAATAATATATTTTATTTGCTGTTGAAGCTATAAAAATGTGTTCAAAACATTTAAATTAAATTTCTACATTAAATGACTCATAAGGTGTTGATATACCATTAAATAAATCAATCAGAATTTTTTACTCAGTTAAAAAAAATAGTCAATGGAGGATGCATTCTCTTCCTCTTCGTCTCTTGTCGAACTCTCTGCCTCCTGGCGGAGAGAAACCCAAACGAGGCTATGCTGAATAGCAGTCTCGTTTGGGGAGGTAGACCAACCCGCCACCGTTCATGCGGGGTCTAGGGGCAATTTTTGGCCGAGCCTACGAGTTCAGAACGCCCCACGTTAAAACTGGCCTTGCGCCACACCTTGCTTTGTGGAGAGTTTGGCAAATAGGGGATATATAGTTTGGGAATTCCAGGAGCTGTAAGCTATGATGTGCGGTTTGCGTACCCGAATTGAATTGTAAATCGGAGAGCCGAATTTCAATTCAAGTGGGGTTCGTTATACGCACTCACGCACAAAGTATGAATCTAACTTTTCTCATGCCCAGCTATGGGTTAATTAGTAGAACTTGAATCTATAAGTGATTATCTTCCCCAAATTCTTTCAATGTAAGAAAATATTTTCTAGCTTTAAAAATAACATGCAAGAAGGTTAATAAGCTGTAAAAAAATAAACCAATCAATCAAAAAGCCTCTGACATGAAACAGTAAGATTGCAAATACACTTGACATAATGTATTAGGTTGGTGCAAAAATAATGACGTAATAATGTCGTTTTTTGACATTAAAAGATACGTCAAAAAACGACATTATTACGTCATTATTTTTGCACCAACCTAATATATATAAAATTCTGTAACTTATGTTAGTCTGTCCGTCCGTTCTAACACCCTCTAAAATAGCAATCCATTGATCGATGTAAAGCAAATTTGGGGGGAAAAGTGGAAACAGGTAATTTTATACAAATTACACTTGGTTTTCCTAGGGTGCGTAAAAACCGCGAAGTAGGTTTTTTGTCAAAATATTTTTTTCCAAACAAATCATCTTATTCAAATCTCATCGATTGGTTTGCGAAATTGAACGAAACACTTCGACAAAAATGTTAGCGATAACTTCAACAAAACTGATATGTCTTGGAAAGGGATCTATTTGTTCGAAGTAGCAAAGTGGTTTTGGACTACTGTAACTGAGTAGGACAATCTAGCAGGTAACCGTAATGAACTGGTCCTCATCGTAGTGGTAGGCAATAGGCGTAGGCAATAGGCGTCGTCCATGTACCTCCACATCAGTCTGTATTTATGACTGACACCAGCCAATCATATTACTGTGAGGGGGAACCCAGGTGTATGCATATTTAGTACATTAAAAACTAATTACTGTAATGATCTCAACAGGCGTCGGTGGTTTGCAAATAAATTAGGGTAGATGACAAAACACAAAATTGGTATGTGTTAATAACAATTGTTTATGGAATGTATTTGATATTTCGGCAATATTCTTTATTTGGAAATCAGCGTAAATGAACGTCTTTTGTCTCAAAGACAAGA